CGGTGGAGCTCCCTATGGGGCCACGAAGCGGTGTACTGGGTTTCCGGGACGCATGCGGGCTTGTCCCACTGGGGGGTTCGGTAAAGTTCCCTATCGGGCACGCAGAGCTGTAGTGGGTGTGCGGGACGCATGCGGACGGTAGCAGTGAGACTTTCGGTGGGGCTCCCTATGGGGCCACGAAGCGCTGTACTGGGTGTGCGGGACGCATGCGGACGGTAGCAGTTGGACCTTCGGTGGGGCTCCCGATTGGGCCACGAAGCGCTGTACTGGGTGGGTGAAAGGCAAGGAAGAGGGAGGTGGGGGCCACGAAACACTGTACTGGGTGTGCGGGACGCATGCGGACGGTAGCACTGGGACCCTCGGTGGGGCTCCCTATGGGGCCACGAAGCGCTGTACTGGGTCGGTGAAGCGCAGGGACGAGGGAGGAGGGGGCCACGAAATGCTGTATTGGGTGTGCGGGACGCATGCGGACGGTGTCAGTGGGACCTTCGGTGGGGCTCCCTATGGGGCCACGTGAAACGCATGGAGGAAGGAGGAGGGGGAGGAGGGGGAGGGAGGAGAAGTAGAGGAGAGGAACGCGGGGCACCGTCTCTTCAAAACGAAGACCCAACACCACAGGATGGTTGGGAAAAATTGCAAAAGCTTTACATATTGAGGGCAGGTCGTTTTCGAGATGTGGCTCTCGCCTTAGCGCGGCGCACACTCGCTTTTAAAAAACTTACAATAAATCACGGATTGAGGGCGAGTAGTTATCGAAATGTGGCTCTCGCCTTAGCGCGGCGCACATTCGTTCTAGAAAATTGCAAGAGTTTCACGGATTGAGGGCGGTTCCCTTTCAAACTGTGGTTCTCGCCATTGCGCGGCGCACACTCGCTTTTTAAAGTTGCAAGAAATTCGCGGATTGAGGGCTGCTCCTTTTCAAAATGTGGCTCTCGCTTCAGCGCCGCGCACACTCGTTTCCAAAATTTGCACGAGTTTGACGGATTCCCATCATCAACGTACCAAAAATGGCGTTGTAGAAATATTCAAGATTATGCGGGTGCAACTGTTCCATGGATTCTGTGTTGGAATCATAAAAATGGCGTGTTGGCACGATCCAAGATTGTCAAGACGCAACAATCAGGTTGATCCGTGGCGTTAAAATCCCAATGTTTAGGCATGCTTCAGGGTCTTGTAGCGGGTGTCTTCCACCGAAGCAGCTCCATCAATGGAAATGCACGGTTGCAGGTGCCTAAGAAGAGGAAGCTTGGAGGGGGGGGTTACTCCAACATCGTTGATGGCTCTTGAGTTTACACTGGTCCTCCTCCTCCTCCTCCTCCTCCTCCTCCTTCTCTCCTCCCTTCTCCTCGCCTGCGCCGGTTTCGGCGCAACCCTCACGCGGATCTTGCCTCCCCTTGAGGAAATTTGCACACCACTCGCGCGCATCGTGCCCTCACAGGAGGCTCTACCAGTTGCCACAATGGAAAGATCGGCACACGCTACCACTACCCAATTCGGCAGACCTCTCCCGTGGAACGTGTTACACCTGTGGGCCCAATGGAGGACATGGCCTGCGCTACCACCACCCAATTCGGAACAACCCTCTTGTGGATCGTGCCCAGCTCCACTTATCGCCATCAGTTAGGAAGTCGCATGCGTTAGCACGAAAAAACTCGGCACACCCCTCACGTGGACCATGCCCACACATGAGGGCTCCATCCGTGGCCGTCGCGACCGCAGAGTGTTGATCCAGTGTTGCGAATGGGCCCGCCCTGTGGGTCCTTTGGGGAGCCGTTAAACAACGGCCGCACGCTTGGCGCGCTCCACTTCTGCGCCATATCCCTGATAGCCGCCAGGCCTGGCCCGCTCTCTCTCTCTCTCTCTCTCTCTCTCTCCCCGGCATCGGCCGTCACAAAAGCACGACGCACTGAAACATCACGACTGGATCCATCGACTCCCATCTTCGTGCGCCACTTCCCGAGCTGGATCGATCCGAGAAGGCCCCAGAGGACGAGATAAACGGGGCCACAAAAAACGCGCCAGATGACAGGCATTTCCCGAACGTCAGCGGCCCGACCCCTCCCTGAGGAGGAACGATGCACGGGGACTGGCTCCGACGACGAGGACGACGATAACGACGAGGATGACGACGACGACGGCGGCGGCGGCGGTGGCTCATGGGAGGAAACATTGACTTGGATTCGGAATCGGCAGCGCATCGCCGGCCCCCGATGGCGAATCCGCGCGTTCCTGGCCGGGGTGGGCTACGGGGCCCGCATCGGCGATGGATGGGCGGGCGATCGGGAGTCGATGAGCTCTCCCCCCCGAGCCTGCCTCCTCCCTAGCGCTACCCCCTGGCTTTCGGGTCAGAACTCGGCTCTCTGGCGGCCGTCCGGGGCGATCCGGGCACCCCCGGCACGCCCTCGGCGACGCGCAGCCGCTAGAAGGCACTCCGAGGCTGGAACACCGCTGAGGACCAACGAAACCGCCCGAACACCTCGAAACCTATCCCCTCTCCCTGAGCCCCGAAACCACTACTCCCAGGACCTCGCCCAAGGTGCGTTCTGATCAGAATTTCGAGCGGAATCCCACTGTGGCGACGAGGAGTCTCCAGGACGAGCAACGGTATCGATATCTTTTCCTTTTCCGGAAATGATCCTGGAGCCCCTGGATCGTTCTGGACGAGGCCCGGCTGATGGAATCAAACCACCCCAGGCCTCGACGATGTTGGAAACACCCCCAGAAACTTACTCCCTCCCGTCCTCAGCCCATCCCCCCCGTGAGCCCCCGCCCCCTTCCGCCCCCTCCCCCCCTTTAACGTTAGAGGGCTCCGAACATGGCCAAATGGGGTCCCAGTAAATGGGGTCGGAGGATCGCGCCGCATCACCACCGCATCGCCAATGCAGCGGCGATGCATCGGCGGCGTGGGGAAATTCACATCGACCCGCAGTTTCCATGCATCAGCGATGTGGCGCGATCCTCCGACATCATTGGCTCCGACCCCAGCTGCAAGGCCTGGACTGTAGTTGTCCCTGTGCCATACCCACTTTGGGAGGCATGGCCTATCGCCACCCCCATGTTACTGCATGTGGCCCCGCCGTGGAGGCGGCCAGGGGGTTCCGAACTGGATGGCCTCGAGAAAATCGGACAGGAATGGGCGACAAGGTCAAATGTGTTCAGCATTAGTCTCCAGACCCCTTCCAGGGTTCATCTGGTGCAGATTTTCACCCTGGAACCTTGTTTGACGGTCCCAGGGCCCGAAAATCGCCCCTTTTCCTGCTCGCTGGAACCGGTGCTGGGCCACAGTCAAGTCGCATAGCAAGGACGAGCAACTTTCCAAGGCTACCCTGGCATCCCTGCCCCCTCGGCCCAAACTTGGTGCCTTTCGCTGGCCAGCCCCGTTCGATAACGCCAGCATGATCCTCCAGGGCCCTGGCATCCTTACAGCGCATTCTTCCGATACGACTTGACTGTGCCTCGGGCCCCCGGCCGACTCCAGCCCTTGATGAACGTGGCGTTCTGTGGCTAGAAGAATATGAAGAGGCCGACCTAGGCCAAGGGTCAAACAAATTAGCCTGGCGGGCGCAGCGGGCAAAGAAAGGCGACAAGCATCGAAAAGAAGAGAACCCTGGAGTATGCGCCCGCCAGGCAGAGGAACAGCAAGCCTGGTTGACCTTCACCTTGGTACCTTGGACTCCAGCCCTGGCCCCACCCCTCCTTTGAGTAGGGCTGGGGGTCAGGTCTGCAGAACACTCCAAACGGACGTCAAGGGGCGCAACCAGCCTGTTTCGTCACGCTGGAACTGATGCACCACACCCAGCGTCAAGCCAACACTTTGGACAGAATCGAACGGTTGGACTTTGCACATCTTCCTCGGCTCAACCGGCGAGGCGTTTGACAACCTTGGCGTTCCTGCTTTGGTGGTCCTGCAGAGGAAGGCTCTCTCGGACCGTCGGCCCTGGCCCCGCCCCTCCTCGGCGCGGCTCCACGCCGCCGCCGACGACGGCGTCGCGGCCGCCGGCGACGCCGCGCCCTCCAGGGCCGCGGCAGGCGCGCGGGGGGCGGCGGGGCTGCGCGGGCAGGCCTGCCGCGCGGGCCGCCGCCCCGACCGCCCTGCTCTGCTCTGCTCCAGGCGACCAGGGAGGCATAAGGAAATGAGAACACCGAACACAGGAATGAATGCATAAACGAGCACAGACATACACATGACTCAATGCATGAGAAAATGCATACATGCATGCATACATCAATACATACATACAAGCAACCAAGCAGCTATATGCATCCATGAACCAATGAATGCTTACATACATAAAAAAAAACAATACATACAACAATGCATTTACACAGACATGAATACACACAGAACATGGAACAACCACACACACATATACATACAGGACTCACCACTATATAACTACACATATACATGCATATACACATACATAAACCATGCATGTATCTATCACGAATGACAGCAAGACATACATACATAATGTTGTATTTGCGTATGTAGAGAACTTGAAAATTCCAAATCTTCACTATTTTCTGGACGTTCGCCATCCCCTCCACTTCGCACATGCTCCCATCGTTTCCGGGGCATCGACGATGGTCTGTGCCTGTGCCCGTTTGTCCCCTCTCACGTGCGCCGGACCCTGACAGCCTCGCGCCGCGAAGACCAAATGAACGACCGAAAGGAACGGGTCCTGCGCAAGACGACACAGCCACACTGCGCCGCGGCTTGAGCGGCCCGCCAGCGCGGCACGCCGCTGCATTGGAAACGAGGGCGCTGACGCGCGATCCTACGCGGGCAGCTTACGCGCCCCTGTCGGCGCAGTCGACCCCGATTTCTTCCGTCGCTCATATGACGGACGTTTCGTTGTGTTCAGCGCGAATGATTTCTGGAGGAGGACAAGGAACGCTGAGGGGACGAAGCGTGGACAGACCAAATCAAATGTCCCCGAAGTGGGTATCTAGGATCTAGGCACACCCACGGGAGCTCCACCGACAACGTTTTGTTTCTATTTCGCGGCGTCGAGGCGCCGACGCAGCGCCGCGGCGAGCGCCCTGTGGGCATCCTCGAACCTCGCGCAACACCCGGCCGCCTCGGCGATGGCGCACGCGGCGGCGCGGCGGGCGCCGGGGCGCAGCCCGTGAGCGCCAGGGAGGCCAGCGGCCTCGGCTTCCCGCGGGCAGCACCACGAACGCATGGCGCCGGTGCCGTCGCCGAAGCAGCGGGCAGTGGCCGCGGGCTCCGCCGCCGCCGCCGTAGGCGGCCACGCGAGCCCTCCGAGGCGCGCGGCCAGCTCGCGGAGCGCAACGGCCTCCTCGGCCAGGTACCGTTCCGCCGCCGCCCGCAGCCCCTCGAGTATGGGCCCCCCTGCGCAAGGGGGGGCCCGGGCCCTCCGCGGCCTCCGAGGGGCCGTGGGCCTGCCGTCGCAGGGGGTCGCGGGGGCCAGGCCAAGGAACCGGAACACCCTCTCGAGCGTGCGGTTACGGTCCGCGGCCATGGCCTCGTGGGGGACGAGCAGGACGTCCTCCTCGGGCCAGTCGAGCAGCACGCGGGTGGTCAGCGCCTCCGCCTGCAACAGCTCCGCCTGCGGCAGCTCCGAACCGCGGCCGTCGCACAGCGCAGCCTCCAACACCTGCGTGGGGCTGCGCACGGCAACCACCAGCTGCACCCGGCGGCGGCGCCGCAGCGACCGCAACCGCCCCGCGGGAGCCTCGCCGGCGAGTACCCGCGGGTCGAAGAGGCCGAGCGCATCGCCGCTGGGGCCGGAGCTTCCGCGGCGGCCCAGCAGCAGGCGGCGGTCGCGTGCGGAGGCCCACGGCTCGTGGCCCAGCTGCAGGAGCAGCTGCGGCTGGGCCCCGAGGGTAAGCACCTGCGGGTGAGCGGCAAGCGCCGCGAAGAGCGCCGCGGAGCCCGCGGCGAGCGGGCCGGCGACGACGAAGTCGATTCCTTCGACCGCGCTCACCGGCACGCTCCACAGCGGCTCGTGGCCCTCTGGCCCAGCTTCCTCCCCCGTCGACGGGTCCTCGGCGGCGAAGCTCTGGGGCGGCGCGGCCTCCCTCGCCGCCGCCGCGGCGCCAGGAAGGCCGGCGGCGGACGCGAACCGCGCGGCCAGCGCGCGGCCCGCCTCGACCGAGCAGGCGGCGGGCACGCAGAGGCCGAAGGCGAGGGCGCTGTCAGGGGGCGCCACGGCGCCTCGGCCTCCGCCGCCACCTCGGGGGACCGGCCGCACGTACAGGTACTTATGCTGGGCGTCGAGGCACTCGTGCCGCTGCTCCTGCAGCAGGGACCACTGCAGCAGGCTGCTCTCCAGGTCCGCCAGCGGCGCCCCCGAGAGGCCGCCGAAGTGCTCGGGCCTGCCCGCGTGCTCCGCCAGGCATCGCGCCGCGAATGCCGCTGGCCCCTCCGAGGCCGCCGCGGGGCGGCCGCGCGCGTAGGCGAAGCCGGCGTCCTGCGGGAACGGCACTGGCGCGCTGTAGCAGGAGTGCAGCAGCTCCGGCGTCCACCCGCCGTCAGCGCGGCCAGGGGCGCCGCGGGCTCGGAAGCACGCGGCCACCGCCGTGGCGGCGGCCCACTCCCACGGGTAGGAGCGCCGCGCCCCCGTCGCCGGGTCGCACGGGAACTGGGCCCACGCGCCGCTGCCGTCCGAGACCTCGCCGCCCGCGCGGGACCCTCCCAGGAAGCGCCCGCGCTCGTCCTTGCGGCATGTGCGGTACGCACACTGCGCGTAGCGGCGGAACGCCAGGCCCTTGTGCTGCGCCGAGGCCAAACGGGCGGCCAAGTAGGTCTCCGGGTTGACCCAGGAGCCGTGGCCTGCCGGCAGGGCCGCGGCGGCCGCGCCGTCCAGGAGGCGCCGCCAGCTGCCCAGGAAGGCCTCGGCGCCGCCGCCCTCCAGCACGGCGTGGTTGTCGTAGACGCCGCCGTAGTCGTCCCAACCGGAGTCCGGCACCCAGACGGACCCAGACGGGCCCGTGTCCAAGAGCTCCAGCGGAGCGTGCGGGCAGAGCCAGGCGAAGTCGGTGCGCGTGTACACCAGGCGCCCCTGGCCGCGTCGAGCGCCGAGGTAGTACCTCAGGCACCGCTCGTGCTGCAGATAGGTGAGCTCCAGCCTGGACGAGTATGGCGGGCTTTCGGCCCTCTCAGGGTTTGAGAGGAACCGAGGAGGAGGAGGAGGAGGAGGAGGAGGAGGAGGAGGAGGAGGAGGAGGAGGATAGATGATAGAGGACAGACGATAAAGGATAGAGGAAGGAGGAGGAGGAGGAGGAGGAGGAGGAGGAGGAAAGCTTAGGAGGAGGAGGAAGAGGAGGAGGAGGATGAGGAGGAGGACGACGGCGACGAAAGCCCGCCATTCTCATCCAGTCTGGCGCCGATAGGTGAACAGCTCCCCCTTGGCCGCGAACTTCCACCGCTCGGCGCCTCCCGAGAGGTTGGCTGGCAGGCCCCCCAGCCAGTTGCCGCCGACGGCCAGCAGCCCCTCAAGGGCGGGCCGCGGGAGCCTGCCGAAGGCGGCGCGCGCGGCGCCGTCCTCGTCGAAGAACTCGACCTTCGCCACCCGGCCCGGCGCACGCGCCCGCAGCTCCTCCAGGGCCGCGAGGGAGTCCGCGTCTCGCCTGGCGCGCCGCGGGGCGTAGACGAAGACGTCGGCGTCGAGCGGCAGCACCAGGTTCGCGGCGATGCCCGCCGCCGTGCCGCGCAGGTCGGCGACCCTGCCGCCGAGGCACACGAGCGCCCTGGCGGGCGCGAGGCCGTCCATCGCGCACCCAGCCCAGGAGCTCCGCCGCGGAGGCGCAGGCGGCCGGCGCCCAGCGCGTGGCGGGAGCACCGCCGAGGGGGGCGGCCGCGGGCGCGGCGCGGAGGCCAGGCGGCCCATGACTTGCTGGCACTTGAGCCAAATTGGCTACGAACCTCCTCCACCGACAGCAGTGGGTGACACTGCGATCTGTCAAATGACATGCCGTGCACTGGAGTCGACAACTCCGAAAGAAGCCAGGCCGCCTCCTGGCCATCGCTCGGACGTCCATTTCCTGTGTTTTTTTTGGTTTCGTGCGTGTTTTTTTCGCCAAATGATCAAGGATGCTCCTCGATGGTCCTCGCCGAAGGAAAAATGAACACGTCCGAGCGATGCCAAGTCTCACGACGGACGGTGTTTAGTGGTTTTCGGCCCCTCGCCAGGCCTCGGGACCACCAGCAAGGCGGCTCGGGACGAAGAACCGACCCCAGGGAGAAGGGTCGGGAATTCTTGGAGAAGGGTCAGGAATTCTTGGAACCGCGCATTGACAGAATCAAGACATCAGATCTCCGGGGATACATGGGCGAGGGGGAACCTGAAGGGGGATTGGTTCAGGGGACAACATCGAGCTTCAATCGGCGATACACCGTCGATACATCGGCGATGGGCCTGGGCCCCCGATTGCCGATTCGCACGGTCCTGGGCAGGTAGGGGCTATCGGAGCCGCGTAGGCGATCAATGGGCGATCGGGGGTCGATGCGTCCTCCCCCCCTGAGCCTGTGCCCTCCTAGCGTTAGGTCGGGCATGTCCCCCTACAGGCGGATTTTGGAAGAAAAATGGGAAATGGTCAAATTACTCCGACGGTTGGACCCCACATGAGAATCTGTTTAGCTTGCCTGGGGATCTCCTCCTGCCCCCTCGCTTCTCCCACCTACTCCTGCCTCCTCCTCTTGCTTCCTCCACCACATCCTCCTCCTCCTCCTCCTCCTCCTCCTCCTCCTGTTCCTCCTCCTTTTCCTCCTCCTTTTCCTTCTCCTCGTTATGCCTCCTCCCCCCATTCCCCATGCTCCTCCTGCCTCCTGCGTCCTCCTCCTCCTCCTCCTGCTGCCTTCCTTCTCCCTCCTCCTCCTCCTTCGCCTCCCCTCTCCATCTTCCTCTTCTACCTCTCCCTCCTCCGCCTCCTCCTCCTCGTCTCCATTTTCCCCCCCCTCCTCCTCCGCCTCCCCCTTCTCCTGCCTCCTCCTTAGGCTTCCTGCCTCCTCCTGGGGACTCTTCGGCCTCTTGGGGCCTCCTGGAGCCTTCTAGGCCTCCCGGGACATCCTGGGGCCTCCTGGGGCACTCCTCTTCCTCCATGTCCTCCTCGTCGTTCTCGCCCTCAGCTTCCTCCTTCTCCTCCTGCTTCTCTTTCTCGTCCTGCATCCTCCTTCCTCCTCCTTCTTCCTCCTCGTGCGGAACACGACCCAGAGGAAACGCACGATGTGCGTCCCGGCGGATACGCGCCGGAGGACGACCCAAAGGAAGCGCGCGCAAGAGGACGACCTGGAGGAAACACGAGAGGTGCGGGCCCCATAGGGACGGGGGCTCCCGCCTGAGCCTTCCTCACAATTCACTCACAGTCGAGGCTTCCGCCTGATACTTCCCCCATATTCAAGCCTCAGGAGCCCAAAAGTGACGACAGTTACAAGTTCGAGGATGACACGCACGGATTGCCAACATGAAGTGCGGGCCCCATAGGGAAGGGGCTCCCGCCTGAGACTTCCTCACAGTTCAATCACAAACGAAGCTCCCGCCTGATGCTTCCCGCAGATTCAGGCCTCAGGAACCCAAAATTGACGACAGTTACAGGTTCGAGGATGTCCCGCTCGGATTACCAACATGAAACGCGGGCCCCATAGGGAGGGGGCTCCCGCCTGTGACTGCCTCACAATTCACTTACAGACGAGGCTCCCGCCTGATACTTCCCCCAGATTCAGGACTCAGTGACGACAGTTACAAGTTCGAGGATGTCCCCGCTCGGATGTCCTGCATCCTCCTTCCTCCTCCTTCTTCCTCCTCGTGCGGAACACGACCCAGAGGAAACGCACGATGTGCGTCCCGGCGGATACGCGCCGGAGGACGACCCAAAGGAAGCGCGCGCAAGAGGACGACCCGGAGGAAACACGAGAGGTGCGGGCCCCATAGGGAGGGGCTCCCGCCTGAGACTTCCTCACAATTTACTCACAGACGAGGCTCCCGCCTGATACTTCCCCCACGTTCAAGCCTCAGGAGCCCAAAAATGACGACAATTACAAGTTCGAGGATGACCCGCATTGATTACCAACATGAAATGCGGGCCCCGAGCCCCATCTCGAAGGGGCTCCCGCCTGAGACTCCCTCGTAATTCACTTACACACGAGGCCCCCGCTTGATACTTCCCCCATATCCAAGCCTCAGGGAGCCAAAAACGACGACAATTACAATATCTGGTTGACCCGGTTGGATTACCAACATGAAGTGCGGGCCCCAAAGGGAGGGGGCTCCCGCCTGAGACTTCCTCGCACTTCACTCACAGACGAGGCTCCCGATTGACACTTCTCCCATATTCAGGACTCAGGAGACCAAAAGGAGCGATAATTACAATATGTGGATGACCCGCTCGAATTAATAACATGATCTGCGAACCCCATAAGCGGGGCCTCTGGCCTGAGCCTTCCTCGCAATTCACTCACAGACGAGGCTCCCGATCGATACTTCTCCCATATTCAGGACTTAGGAGCCCAACAATGACGACAGTTGCAATATGTAGATGACCCGCTCGGATCAATGACATGATCTGCGAACCCCATCGGGAGGGGGCTCCCGCCTGAGACTTCCTCGCGATGCACTCACAGACGAGGATCCCGCCGGATACTTCTCCCACGTTGAGGCCTCCGGAACCCCAGAATGACGACAGTTACAAGATTTGGATGGCCCGCATGAATAATAGCATGCTCTGCGTGCCCCATCGGAAGGGGCTGCCGCCTGAGACTTCCTCACAGTTCACCCACAGACGAAGCTCCTGCGAGATACTTCCTCAAGTGTGGGTGTGTGAATGAGCGAATGAATCAATGAGTGACTGATGATTATGATGATGACGACTATGATGATGATGATGCTGCTGCTGATGATGACGGGTGTGATGATGAGTACATGAGAATGTGAGTGAAGAGATGCTGGGTGATGAGTAGGAGAGGGATGGGGTGAGGGTGACTTCCTGCGCGGGGTGTCCAAGGAAAACAAGAAACCCACTTAGGATGGTGGGAACAATGTTCAAACACATTCAAACTATGAAATTCGCCTCGCGAAGGACCCAACCATATGCAGTTGTGAATACCGCGATTGTACTGGGTGGTGGCGGACGCATGAGGCCGGTGCCACAGGGACCTTCGGTGGAGCTCCCTATGGGGCCACGGAGCGCTGTACTGGGTGGGTGAAACGCAAGAAGCCGGGCTGTGCTGGGTGGTGGCGGATGCATGCGGGCGGTGCCACTGGGACCTTCGGTGGGGCCCCCTTATGGGGCCACGGAGCACTGTACTAGGTGGGTGCAACTTAGGGAACAAGAACTGTGCTGGGTGGTGGCAGACGCATGCGGGCGGTGCCAGTGGGACCTTCGGTGGAGCCTCCTATCGGGCCACGAAGCGCTGTACTGGGTGGGTGAAGCGCAGGGAGCAGGGGCTGTGCTGGGTGCTGGGTGGTGGCGGACGCACGCGGGCGGTGCCACTGGGACCTTCGGTGGAGCCCCCTATGGGGCCACGAAGCGATGTACTGGGTGGGTGAGACGCAGGGAGAATGGGCTGTACTGGGTGGTGGCGGACACATGCGGGCAGTGCCACTGGGACCTTCGGTGGAGCCCCCTATGGGGCCACGAAGCGCTGTGCTGTGTGGGTGACACGCAGGGAGCAGGGGCTATGCTGGGTGGTGGCGGACGCACGCGGGCGGTGCCAGTGGAACCTTCGGTGGGGCCCCCTATGGGGCCACGAAGCGTTTACATTAACGCCTCTATAATTAGCCAGCTTTGCACTGAGAGCTCGGGGGGGCCTTCAAAGGGGGGGCAGGCGGAGCTGGAGCGACAACCCTGCAGAATATCAAGCACGACGAGCACACACAACGACGGCACGGCACACCCGACGCAGCAGCAGGTGCGTCCAGGAGAGTGCCGCGAGCGCGCCTAGAGGGGGAGGTCCCCCCGCGAGGTGTTAGAAGGCGTGGCCGAGCCGCTTTGGGCCCAGACCTCGAGCGGTGCCTGACCTGGCCTCCAGGCCAAACAAGGCCCGCTAGGAACTCGGAAACGCATCAGCCCCAAGGGTGATAGCCCCAGGGTGGGAGTGGCGGGGCCGAAACTGCAGCCATGTAAGACAGTAAGAGGGTGACGAATTCGGCGGCTAGAAACATTGACGATGCCACTGTAAAAGTGTGTTTGGAAAGCGCGTTTTCAATTAACGCCTCTATAGTTAGCCAGCTTTGCACTGAGAGCTCGGGGGGGCCTTCAAAGGGGGGGGCAGGCGGAGCTGGAGCGACAACCCTGCATAATATCAAGCACGACGAACACACACAACGACGGCACGGCACATCCGACGCAGCAGCAGGTGCGTCCAGGAGAGTGCCGCGAGCGCGCCTAGAGGGAGGGCCCCCCCGCGAAGTGTTAGAAGGCGTGGCCGAGCCACCTTGGGCCCAGACCTCGCGCGGTGCCCGACCTGGCCTCCAGGCCAAACAGGGCCCGCAAGAAACTCGGAAACGCATCAGTCCCAGCCCCGACAAGTCGAGACTGGCATACTTGCCTAAACACCAGCCTTGCAACAATATGAGGGAGGGAGGGATTGGGTCATTCATTTATGTTGTGCTCCAGCCCCCCTGTTAATATAAAACCCTGGAAGAAAACGGGCGAGGACAGGGGGCGCGTCAACCTGCCTCCAGGCACGCACCGACTATATCAAAATATAAAGATGATAGTACAATCAACACACACACGAGAGTGCTGGACTCTGGCCCGCCAAAAGGGCTGGGCGTTGCATCGCGCGCCGATCAATGAAGCGAAACAGTCAGGCCCAGCAATCATGATTCTCGTGCGGCGCTCGATTTGCTCCTGTGTCGAGTGCGAGAGGCAGTGCTAGGGCGACCTGTCGTCAGCACCCGTCCTCCCTCGAAATTCGGGAGCTCGGCCTCCTGGCCGCGCGCCCGCTCCAGCTCCCCTAGCAAATGCTTTGCCAGTGGGGTCTGGGCAGCGGGCGACTCCTCGATCAACGAAATCAGCGC